TTGAGCTATGATGCTGTGCCCTTGTGGTTGTAAATAGTGCCTGGCCCCTGCTCAGTATTTGTAAAGAGCTTGTTTGTTGCATTAATCTTTGACTACAGCAGTGACCTTGCTTATACCCACATCTTGTTACAGTTTATTTTCAAAAGTCTTTGATCTTCTTTGGTACATCTGTTGGAGGAGCACTAGTCTGCAGCCTCATGTGTAGGATATATCAGTTGGCAGCTGAAGATACAGAACAAAACTGTGCTAGCTTGTTCTTATAATTCAGAGTTAGTTCATTACCGTGAAGATTTCACAATCTGGAAAGACTTAGCTGAGTAGCAGTAACCATAGTCAATGTTTTTCCTTACGCCTTTTCCCCCTGCTCCTTACCCCAAAATGTGCTTGATATTGACTTTCTCTTTTTTTGGTTTGATTTATTCTTCTGTGATGAGATTAAAAACAACACCAAGTTTTTTTGACCTTAGGTGGGAGGTGGCCGAGTTGGGGAAATGGGCCGTGCCTCTCTATCCCTTCATATAAACCAACAGAGGGTTTACTCTTTTCCTAAAAATGAACAGTTAAAACTTTTAACCTTGGAAGCAACATACAGAAAAATTGTTTACGTGCAGGCTGTTAGGAAAAGAAATAGAAAGGGAGAAAAGTTAAGAGTGAACATCTGTGTATATCTTTTGCTCAGTCTTAATCTGGCAATGAGCTAAGCAGGTAAGAGTTCATTTTGCTTTAGCTGGCAAAAGTTGGTGTACCACTACCATATAGAGTGTATACGCAGAAAATGAAATGATACCATTCCTGCCTATTAAGGAGTACCATTTTGTGGTATGAGAAGCTGTGGCTATACATTTTATGGTAATGAGATGCTTAAAATCTGTGTTAAAGTTGTATTCTGAAATTCACTTCAAAAGTACTTGTGTAATTAACATAAGAAAAAGTAAAAATCACTTCTGGAAAGATAATGAGATACTTTGCATTAAAATATGAATTGATCATGGTTAATATCATGTGCTTTAAGATGTTAAGGAATTAGAATGCTAAGATTTGCACAAACTTGCTCTTGTTATACAGGATTAAATTTTATTAAGGAGTGGAAGGTTTTGTACTACTTTGATTATATTGAAGTTTTTCCTACGCATTTACACACCATGCTCACTTCTACGAGTACAGCTTCCCATGCTCACTAAGAACCAAACACAATTTATTTAAATATTCCTAAACATTTTTTAAGAGTCATCCAAGTTAAATGAGAAGGTACAGGACTCTCTTGTCTCTACAAGATAATAATTGTCTTCAGTGGAATGAAATGGGTGCTAAGAAGTCATGTAACGACGAAATAACAGGAAAAATCTTGCCAATTAGAATAGGTGAAGTTTATCAATATCCATTTATTTAGTGGAATTAATCAGTCTTTTCTTCTCTTTAGGTTAGTTAATAGTCCCATGTGTATGATACTCCAAACCTTTTTCATTGTGGTTTATTTAATTTCTTCTATTAACCTTCTGAACTTTGCTGTGCAGGTAAAGGGTCTGGAGCAGTAATGTCTGCTGTTTATGCTATATGTTAGCAGTGGCACTGTATTTAGATGATACACTCTTTTTTTCTTCTCAGTGCTACAGGGAAAGACTTTGATCTTCCAGGAATTGTTTTCTGTCAGTAGTTAAGTGCCTTTTGTGTCTGGGTATTCACTTTTATTTGGGTACATTTAGTCAGAAATAAAACCGTGAACAAATTACTGGGATTTAATCTTTGCAGATGTGGTTTCCTTTTCAGTCCTTTGAATATTGTTCTAAAACCATCTGGTACACTTAAATTCACATTTATGTGGTTGGTTTAGAATGAGTATTTTCTGTTAAGGCTATCTCTGAAGCAGACAGTCTTCTTGAAGATGATCTTGTTGTAACTCCTTGCATTGCACCATTGACTATTTGGAGCATAGACCCTAAGGCTCACACTGATGATTTTAACTCCTATTACACTATTGATTCCAGAAATCCAATGAAACTGCATAATACAGTTTTTTTCTAACTGTTTCCATCTATTATAATATCCATATTTGTAAACAAACCTTTATGATGGAGCAGATTTCTTTTCCTAAGAGTCCCTCCTATTCAGAAGTCTGAATCAAAACCAGCTTGTCATATTGACTAAGAGATAAATTTGATGTTGCCTGGTCCATCTCCCTATACAGACACATTTTGACACAGTGTATTTGAGTGCTAATAATGACATTAGAAGATGTTGGAAAGAGATCTAATTTGGCATGCAGGAGTGACTTTGCTGTCATCTCCTATTTTCTGCACAATTGACAGCAGATACTTGGGGCTGAATTTTTCTTTCAGGTCAGATTTCCAAGGCATGAGGCTGTCTGTTAGAAATAGATAAGACCAAAACCAATACAGAAGTACTTGTTGGAAGTGTCAGCAGTGCTGAAGATTTAAAAAGGGTGCTTCAGTTTTCTGTTTATGACATGACACAACAACATATATTTCACTAGCAATAAAATCCAACCAACCATGCCAGTTTTTAAAATTTCTCACTGGGAAAATTTTGTATTAGTAGTCTTATCTGGGAAGAATAATTTTTTTTTTCAACTAATATAACTATTTTGTCACACTCTCTAGCTAGTACTCTTAAATTATTTTTCAAGAAATAATAATTCAGTTATTCATTATAACCCCAAAGCCTCTAAACTGATTGGTGACAATCAGTCTGGACCACACATACCACACATATATATATGGAAAATTCTTTCCCTCTTCCTGCATCTCCTGTTCCATGTGTATCGCTTCATTAAAAAAATTTAAAAATCTGGTTTTGTATCTAGCACCCAGTTACTTAGATTGTACATTTCTGTTGCAGTGTTCCCTTGTTTCTAAATTTTTGGGGGTTGTAAGGAAAGGAATATTTCCATTAAGCACATTCACATCTCTACTAATTCTATTTTTAGACTGTTTAGGAAATTTTTATTTCACGAGCTTGAGGACATATCTCTGAAGAAGCCCACGTGAAAGCAACCTGTAAGTTGTGCTTCATCCTTGAAACCAAAGTAGCAGTACCTGTTTGTTCACCTGCATCTTGTACCTCTTAAAAAGGGGGTTTATAAATCAGATTTGCAACATTAGCAGAATTTGGAGGAGGCATGTGTTTAAATTGCCCTGGGATGCCAGGTGTAAACTGTGTCCTGAAGTATGAGGACATTTCCCTGCAGGAAGACACTTGGAGGGTGACTTTCCACACTGGAAGATGCTGCAGGCACAGGATTCATGCTCTGGCAATATGGCAAGGAGTCTCTCAGCTGAAGAGACTTTGTTTGATTTGGTGTAAGAGATTAATGTCACAACTTGGTCTCATGACTGCAATCTAAAGAGTGACCAGATGTGCAGTGGTCCAGGTGCTGTGGATGTTAGTTCAGCCTCTTAGTTGGGGAATTCCTTGTGTGAAAGTGGATCTTTGTTCTCTGGAAAAATACGCTTATTTGAATTCCCCTGTCCTGACTAATTGCTCTAATTAATTTTAATAGTTTATTATCAATCTCAATTCTTCATTAAAGTTGGTAATGGAAATACTCAAAAGGAATTCTGAATATTTGGAGTGAAAGATTGTTTCACCACATGTTTGCTAGTGTGTTCCCAAAAATCCAAGAGAATATATATATATTTATTTTTAGTCAGACTGGGGAAGGAGTGGGAATGTACGAGAACTATAGTTTAATCTAGTGAACAGTTTTGCTTCTCAGTTCTTTGTCTGCCAGATCAGGCTTTGAAAAATAGCAAAACTATTTTGAGATTTTAATAAACAATCCAGGAAATTGAAAGTTTTCATTTTGACAGTTTCAAGATGAAGTGTTTTAACTTTAATATCAAAAATAATTTTTCATCTTTAAGCATCTTTTTAAAAGAGGCAGAAAGCAATTTCATGTGGAGATGACTGATCTTGATCATGGGTGATGTCATGTCCCGTTGGATTAACAGTGCAGGAAAAGTAGCTTGGCTGCCCTGAAGATACATTTGCTCTGTAAAAAGTAGAAATTTTCTGGTTTGGGGTTGTAATGAAATGTGTTTCATAATTATCTAAGAGTAGTAAGGAAATAAAAGGAAAAAAATTATATGGAGTTGTCTGGGTTCTCTGTTCTGCAAGCTGCTGATCATATAAGGAGTGGAGCAACTTCCCCAGCAGGAAGGAGAATACTTGCCCCTCTGTGCTGGTCAGTAGACCTCAGCCCCAGACTGGAGTAAATCTGAGTGATGATGGTTTTTAAATATGAGACCTGAAGCTGACTTATGCATAATATGCCTATTAATTTTTATCCATCTCTAGGTAACACTGTTCTGAGTTTTCTTTCCAAAAAGGGCATTTTTGTAATGAATTGTGAACAAGTGACACAACGGGTAATGGAGGATGTGCAACCAGCTACAAGAGCAATTCCCTATATGAATATCTAGTGAAATAGAAAATAGACAGGAAATATGTGTTTACCCTTTAGTGGTAAAACGCATTATGGGAACACTGAAGTGTGTTTTTTACTAAGCCAGTATTTTGAACTGGTAAGTGATCATCTTCTACTAAAATGGCACCAATAGAACAAAGATCAAAAAGCTAATGCCACACTGAAATATCATCTTACAACCCTATAAATTTCAAATATATTATTAGGACAGAAAGCATGAGCATAGTGAATATTTTTTCATTTCATTATAAGGAATAAAAATAGTTTAGAAATAATTTTCTCATAAACATGGAGTACGTGATCAGCTTACTCCAAGAATAGTTAAAATGAAGTGCATGGGGTATGGCCAAGATGAGATAATAAATTGTGTGAAATATACTTTTAGTTTATTTTTGTTTGTAATAAAACTTAATTTCTTTTGCAAGCATATATTTACAGGCTTTTTTGTACTGTTACCTTTCTTGTAATAATTTTTACACCATGCTGTATAAGGCAAGTAGCGCCATAGCTGGTGATGAGGCTTGCAGTAAAAATAAAACAGTGTACCTATTCACAGGATTGTGGTGAGCTGAAGCTACCCCTGTGTGTATTCAGCTGGTCTCAGTCAAACTTCCAGAGTCTCCAGGAAGAACAACCAGCTCCAAATCTTCATTATTCAATGTGCTGAACAACATCCTCTGAATTGCCCAGGTTGGTTGAAAGAGGTTTGTGTTGGGGCTGGGACTTGCCTTGTCTTCAGCTGAGTATCCCACCTGTGCCTCTGAATTGGCATCACTCTTCCAGCTGCTGCTCAGGAAAAGTTCTGCCCTCTCTGCTCCTTCCTGGGTTGCTTCTTACCACTAAAGAGCTGAGCTTAACAGCAGGGGAGCCAGTGCTCCACAGCAAAGTTTTGTCTGCTGTGGGACTTGGTCAGGGTCAGTCACTGTCACTGGAGCAGTTGCCTTAAGTGGAGGGAATGCGTTTTTACAGTTCTTTGCTTTTAGCTATGGTTCCCTTTTCCCCTCTTTCCTCTTTTCTTTTGTTTCCCCTTTCTCTCCATTTCTGTGAGCATTCAAAACCAATTTCCTATGTTTAACTAGCTGTGTGGAAATGTATTTTACAGTTGAGTATGTCTGCTTGAAAACATCTCTGCTACTTTCTCTGCAGTTAAACTAGAGAAGTTTCTTAGTGTATGTGAAGTGTGAGTCCAGATGAATTAAACAGATTTTATTTTATTTTTTGTTCTATTCACTCAATAGAATGATCAATCCTCTGTTTAAGCTGCTTGTGCAGTATCTTAGTTTTCCTCAAGGAATATGTAACATTCATCTCTTCACAAGCAGTGTTGGAGAACATGCTTTTTCTAGTAAAATGTGTTTGTTTTAATCCTAGTGGTCCTTAAAGCCCTTTAGGTGGCTGCGAGGTTGCAGCACCCAGGGAAGAGAAGGCTGCAAGAAGAAAAAGATGAGCCGAAGTATTTTTGTGGGATAGTTATCCTCAAACTGAGGGATATGTCAGCTCCCTGACGAGTCCTGGGATGTACATGTTTCAGCATCAAGCAAGCTGGGCAAACTTGTTCATGCATGGTCCCCCTGACTCCCTTGCCCCCTGCACTGCTGTGGCATGGGACCTGCCCACGTGCTGCCCATCCTGTGCAGCGCCTGGCACAGGCGGGAGCCAGGGGGATCAGCGCTGCCGCATCCCGGGAGCTGAAATCACTGCCCGTGTTCTGCAAGGGTGGAGGGCCATGGATGCTTCCCCTCTTCTCTCTCTTCCCTCTCTTTCCTTTCTGCACATTACATGCTCCCATGTTGGAAATGCTGGGGAGGTTTGAAGGGTCTAGGTGCTGCTGTTGTGGAGATGTGTTGAAAAGTTGTGACAAACCTCTATTGCTTGGATATTCCTTGATAACCTTTGAAAGTTTTGATGAGAACTTAGTGCTGGCTTTTGTATTTTGATGCCTAGATACTTGTTATGTGGATGTCCTAAACTTTCTGTCTATAATAAGACAATTAATTCTTTTGATATTTTACTTTTTACAAGACTATTATGACTTGAACTGCTTTTCTCATGACTCATGAGAATGGCAATTGGTAACCACTAATATTTCTGCCCACAAGGGTTTGTAATTTCAGAAGTAATCACTTCGTGGCTGATGTAAATTTTGTAATGAGAAATACTAGATTTATGACTGCAGGATTTCTCACAGACTGTTTTATTACTTAGAGGAATTGCTTTCTCTGTTGGGAAAATCCATCATTAGATGTCTGCCTCAAATGTTTTGTGGGCGGTTTATGCTTCGAGAATGCTAATGCAATCATTGAAACAATAATGATGATTTGAGATAGTATAATTGTTCCCCTTCCTTCACTCCAGACACAGAATGAGCTGCAAGTGAAGCTAGGTGTGGGTTTGTAAGGGGACTTTTCAGCCAGGACGTGACTAATTGCAGTATCTGGTCACTGGGTTCCTACCCCACTTTTACGTTCAATGCACTTTCATCACCATCATTTCAGCACCATCATGTAACCTCTAGTGCCTTAGTCAAATATATTTTCTTACATATACTCTAGAAATGCTAAAGGCATCCATTTCTTGGAGTGTGGGCAGCAGGGTAGAGAAGAAGGTGAGAACCTATCTTTGAGTCACTTGCCTATTCCCTTTGCACCTGCTGTATCTCATTTTGCCCCAATGCCTGCTTTTAAGGACCCAACTGAAGCCCTTCACTGTTTCTGTGAAGCTGCATTGTTGCATGGATTAGCATTTCTTTTCATTTTCTGCTTTCTGTGTGTAATAGGTGTATTCTGGGTGAAAACATGTGCTACTGGAGAATCACCTGTGATGTATTGGTGTTTCAATTCTTTGTCTGATTTAGCATATTTTTGCTTTTTAATGTAATTCATTTCTGCACTGCTGATCTTATTCTGTATTGAAGCAGCACATTTGTGCATGATTCAAGTTGGTTTCTGGAAACCAGTTTCAATAACTTTCATTTATTTAAACTATTAAAATAGTTTAAAGTACAGAGAACAGTACCATTCGCTTTCTATTTAAATTGCAGCTCTAACTGTTGAAATAGCCTTGAAATAAAGTATCTTGGGTTCTGCTTGACCTGATTCAGTATAACACTTAAAAAGTAGAATTACTGAAAAGATAGTCAGATGCATTCCCTATTTGGCTCAGGCTATTGAAATGGGAAGGGTATGAGTTTGCCACAGCTATTAATATGATATTAATCCAGGGTATATTATATATTGCTTTAAAGTCTTATCGGGACGACTGGATATCCTTTTGTAATGTGTTCTTTTGCTTTTTCTATACAGTGATATTTTGTAGATGAGCCATTGCTCAATATGTGAAGTCTAAATGGCTCTTCTTATATGATCAAGTATGATGTTATTGAATGCCTTACAAAGCGGCTGTATCCTCTGCACATTAAGATTGAGTCTGGTGCTTATTACAAAATCCAGACTTTTCAGATGCTAAATACATGCTCTATCTTACAAGCTAAAAATGGAAGACTCCTGACAATTTTGGGCTGTTGAGGCTAAATGACTCTCTTATGTCCATCTTTCTCTTTTTTGTCCTTCTGGTTTCAGTTTAGGCCCTAGTTCTTAGCAGTATTAAATATCTCTGTGGATCCAGATGGCTAGAAAGTAGCAATGCCATTACAGTCCCTAATTTTCTGAATCAGGGCATTTGTTATTTTGACTTTTCCTATAGAATATCACTGTAAAAATATTAGTTTTTGACATGGTGATAGCTTATTTTATTTGATTTGCTGCAGAAGCTTTCACTGATTATGTTTAGGCTGTTAAGATGCATACTATAGCTTCACACTGCTTAAGTTTGCTTCTTCTTTTTTTATTTGTAGGTGGGTTTTCAGATGCACCAAGGAAAGTTTTAAAATCATTTATATTTACAATTGTTTATGTGATATCTTCTTCATTCCATGCAAGTAAATAGTTCAAGAATTTCTTGGTTTATATCTCCTCTTCTGATGGGAATCTCATAAGAAAATTGCATGAAAATGAAAAAAAATTAAACTTTCTTGTGTGCTTTTATGAATAGTCTGTCTCTTTCTGTCCTCTAATTTTTAAATTTATTTTTAAAATAAGTTATTCTGTACCTGGTTTATCAATTTGTTGGCAGTGTGTTGATAAGAACTTTATTTTCATGGCTTAGTCTCTCTGAGGTAATTAAAATCTAAAGGTTCCACTCCTGTTTTCCTGCACTCAGTTCATTCAGTTCAGCACATTGGCTGCAGAGGCACAGTCTAGTCCTTCTGCCTGTTCAGTGTTCAGCTTCCCATGTATGAAGATTAATAATAATCAGAGAGCTTGCACATAGAGGGAGGGAGGTATTGATTGTCATTACAAAGTTGGATTCTGTCTCAAGGAGTCTAGTTTTGCTCCTTACTCTCACAGCACCTAATTGAATTTGGATGGATAAAATTATTTCTAGGCTACATCTGGTGCATGATGTAGCCCTTACTTATTTAAATATATAAGCCCTTTGAAATAGGGAACACTAAAAAATTAGTGGGGTGACAAGAAAAATGATCTTATTTTGGAAGGAATGCAGATACCCTTTAAAAAAAAGAAATAAAGAAAAGGAAAAAGCTAATAAATGTGGATAGTGGAATTGTTCATAAAGGATTCATAAAAGAGGTCATGAAAAGCAAACTTGCTTTGAGTTAAAAAAAAATAAAATTAAAGTATGGAAAGTGAGATGTATGCAGATCATATTGTTCCTGAAAGAGGTTATTAAATACAGGTGCCACTTGGTTTTATATGGTTAGGTTATTCACAAAATTGACTGCATAGTGAACTTGCTGAAAAAGCATGAGAACTCCTTAAACCTTTCCCTGGGCTGCTCCTTTTCCACAAATTTTGTGGTTCCTGCACATGTGGGGAAAAATATACTTTTGATCTACGTCTTAATTCATGCACCAATTCCAGAATGAAGATTAAAAACTTACTTGAATCTGAATAGGAAAAAAATAGTTCTGTTGTAATGCAATGAAAGCGGTAGTTCCACCAAGTTAAGAGGAGCATAAACGATGTAGTAGATTTTGTTGACTACAAAAAATAAATGAAAATTATATTATGTACCTTTCACGTTTGGGTTGTAGCCTTTTCTGGGAATTGCTAATTATGTTTCAGTGATTGTTAATAATACAAGTTTGTTATTGGTACCAGCTCCAAATCTTCATTATTCAATGTGCTGAACAACATCCTCTGAATTGACCAGGTTGGTTGAGAGAGGTTTGTGTTGGGGCTGGGACTTGCCTTGTCTTCAGCTGAGTATCCCACCTGTGCCTCTGAATTGCCATCACTCTTCCAGCTGCTGCTCAGGAAAAGTTCTGCCCTCTCTGCTCCTTCCTGGGTTGCTTCTTACCACTAAAGAGCTGAGCTTAACAGCAGGGGAGCCAGTGCTCCACAGCGAAGTTTTGTCTGCTGTGGGACTTGGTCAGGGTCAGTCACTGTCACTGGAGCAGTTGCCTTAAGTGGAGGGAATGCGTTTTTACAGTTCTTTGCTTTTAGCTATGGTTCCCTTTTCCCCTCTTTCCTCTTTTCTTTTGTTTCCCCTTTCTCTCCATTTCTGTGAGCATTCAAAACCAATTTCCTATGTTTAACTAGCTGTGTGGAAATGTATTTTACAGTTGAGTATGTCTGCTTGAAAACATCTCTGCTACTTTCTCTGCAGTT